GATGCGAGTACAACCCTGCGTAAGTCAAGAGGGCACCAGTAATGATGTCCCCACTTTCAACCCTTTCTTCAAAAAACAAATTCCAGAGGAAATATTCTCGGCCAATTGATTTACGACATAGGAGATCCGTGCACAACTGATGAAGACTGCCAATGCACTGGTTGCACTTGTAGCAAAGATGAAGGACTTTGTATTGCTCCTTAATTCTTGTGCAATAAATCTTCGGTAAAAGAAAAACATGGTTATTCGATGAGGGCCATCATTTGGATGCCGTTTTTCCACTCTCTCAAAATCTTCCAGCTACATGCAGTAGACCGTGGCAAGGCTTATAGGAGTTTTTTTGCTTCCGTCTTTCAGGCGTTGGGACCAGTCCCGCACAGATCGCTGGGACGGACCTTCGAGGCCTGAAGCGTAACACAAGTTTGAATGGACATTTGCGGGGTGAGAGCGGGGTGACATTTGTGATCACAAAGGCGCTGCACTACAAATTTCACACATGGGCTCAGGGGAACAATGCACCAAAACTAGTTGTTATCGAAACATTTCAACACTTGTTTACACTTACGGCTATGATCGTTACTTTTCTCTTGTTTAGTCTCGTCCATCCATCTATCTCCTTACCTTCTTCTCCCCGGTATTAATCCCGCGCCGTAGCAGGATCCTCAATTCTTGTCAGCCGTCTCTGCTTCTTTCTATCTATGGGATCCTCTTCTATTGCTTTGGCTTTGACAGAGTCCCTTCTCGAACTACGTCTTGAGAGCTTTTTGTCACTGCAGACTGCCAAGTCTCATATTATTTATTACACAGAAGAAGGGCTCCAAAGCAGTTATGACTGCAGTAAGACACTGTATTGAGTAGTTGAGTTCAGGATAGAGTTTTTTGACTTCTTAGTTGGGCTGAGGTAGTTGTGGATAGTCTTGCTTTATGCTCCAGCTTCACTGTTCCTGAATAGTTTCTTGTTTCAGTAAGCTTTTCTGAGGCAGATCTAGAAATGTGAATCTAGAAATTTCTTGTGTACACCCTTTCGACTTTAGTAATATCTATTTATGGACTCTTACCACACATAATAAGAATTTTTGCAATGTGGTGGGCCGACTAGATACAGTCTGCTATCAGGCACAAGAATAGCTGGTCTAGTACCTGTGCTTAACCTGCCTTTTCAATACTAGGAAATTTATTCATTATCATTCATAATCGAAACAGGTTCAGCGTTTTCAGAACCAGCTTTGAACCAATCAAGTCTTACTTGCTGCTAGCTTCACCCTGCCTCCCCCTGGTCGCTTACCTGAGTGATATATAACTTCTAATCCTTTGTGTTTGCCTGAATCTGTTTAGCTGGATGTTTCGGGTGACGGTCATTCAAGGGCTCTTTACCTTTCGTTCACTGTATGAAACGCGAGGGTTCCGCTGCGGTAGTCGGACAGATCTTGCGTTTTGTTTGAAATCAGTTTGAAAGCATTAACTGTTATAGTGGAATTCTGCTAGGAGGCGCTGAAAAATGCCGAAGCTCCCCTCATCACTCCATTTCTCATGTGGAGAAATAGACGAAGCTGTTCCCTTTGAACCACGCATAAAATGAGCCTTCATTAGATTTTGTGGTAAAAGGTTCATCCTCTTTATGTAAAAAAAAACAGATTAAATTTCTAGCATGTCTTCATCGAGGGGGTTTCTTAAATTACATTTTTCGTCGATGATTTTACTTATGCAATTGTTTTGAACAATGAGTGGTAGTGGTCATTTTCAGTCACCAGTCTTCATGACCCTTATTCTCAATCTTTCCCTTCATTATCAAATTCCTTATTTCCTTTGGCTTCGGTTCACCACCTCATACAACACTGTTTTTTAGCTGCAACATTGTTTTTTATCAATGTGGTAACAAGTCATTATGAATGCATGTTCCATTTTTGTCAGGACATCGTAGAAAATAACTAATCGTTACGCTTGATTTGATATGGAGTAAAAAATCCGAGAAATGTAATCAAGCCTGACAGTGATGTCGTGTAAATTCTAGTTAATTCCCTTCCCATCCATCTTGGCCCCATATTCTCCTGCAAACTTACTTCAGTGTCTTCAATATGATTCTTATAGTAAGATATGTCGAAACTATTATATTACAGTAGAAGAAAATTCGCGTGTGTTGCACAATACATGGATCGAATGCTATGTGCGAAAAGTTAAACAACCTTTGTGCCTGGCTTGAACGAAGGAGAATAAGGGATTGAAGTTGTTTAAACATATCGCAGAAATCAAATACAGCATGAAAATGAGCCTGCCGATTTGAGGTCAGTGGTCAACGGCCAACGTATAATTCACAGTAGCGCTCAAAAGTATTCGGCGAAATGCTACTTCAGTTGTACATTTCAGTCGTAACTTTTTCCTGGCTTGATGTTATTTATTTGTTTATTCATTTATTTATTTGTTACACCAANTTTCTAGCATGTCTTCATCGAGGGGGTTTCTTAAATTACATTTTTCGTCGATGATTTTACTTATGCAATT